AGTGTCACCTAAATTTTTTCTTTGTATCAATTTTGGTCTTCTCTAAATTAGTTTTATTAACCATCATAAACATTACACTGACATCCCACTTATTCCAGGTTTCTAAGACATTCTCACATCTTCAAGTAACTGAATTTCATCACTGTTTGAAATGTAGCATACATTTCTTTGTCCTTTAGCAAATATCAACTATAGTATCTTCATGTATATTTGGATTATTAAACATTTTTTAATCACTGCAATACCACATGCTTTCAGTGTTTCTTTTTTTTTTTTTTAAGGGTTTTTTTTTTTTTTAAATCTTTTTTTTAACTTTTTTTTTTTTTTTGGTACCGGGAATCAAACCCAGGGCTTCGTGCTTGCCAGGCAGGTGCTGCACCACTGAGCTAAATCCCCAGCCCATGCTTTCAGTGTTTCTGAGGTGGGTGTACAGAATTGTTTCTCCAGACACCATTATGACCAAGTTTGTAAAATTTCAACTTAACTTTGTTGTCAGTTTTTGCCCTCAAACATTTTTTTTAACTTCCTTTTTGCTGAAATCTGATAAACTGTCAAATTTATAAGTAATTCTATCTAAAACTAAAAGATGGTTGTTGCATGCTTGAAATCCCAGATACTTGGGAGCTTGAGGCAGGAGAATCACGTATGTGAGCCAAACCTAGACAATTCAGCAAAACTGTCTCTCAAAAAAAAAAAAAAAAAAGGTAGATGTGGCACTGAGTCAAATTTCCAGCTCTCCCATCTTTTTATTTCACTTGATGCCACCAGTTCAGTATCCAGTATCACAAAGTGAATGATGCTATCGTCTCTTTTCACAATAGCCCACCCTATGGTATAGGTTGTATTTTTTTCCTCCATTTTTCCTACTTTACTTGGCCCAAACTCAATCTGCAAAGCCTCTTTTTCTCTACCTTTAATAAATGTGCAACTTTACCAACTGTTAAAAAAAATGAATGGATGAATGAATGAGCAAGCCAACAACCCAGGCAAGGGTGGGACCTGTCTGTAATCCCAACACTTTAGAATGCTAAAGGATCCCAAGTGGGACCCTAGTTTAATGAGATGCTGTTTTAAAATTTAAAATAAGGATCAGGATGTAGCTCAGTGTGACAGTACTGGTTTCAGACACCACTACTGTAAAAATGAAGATTGATTTAAAAACTTTTTAAAAGCCTAGAGATGTACATGTACCAACTCCACACAAAGATGTAAACATGTACTACAAACAAGTACTAATAAACTTTTCTTAAGCAAAAAGGCCTGGGGATATCTCTGGGTTCAATTCCCAGTATTGGGGCGGGCACACACACACACACACCCCACAAAACAAAAACATTTATCTAAAAGAGAATAAGCTTTGAAAATCTTAGTGGCTTGTGCCTATAATCCCAATACTTGAGAGGCCAAGGCAAGAGGTTTATGTATTCAAAGCCAGCCTGAGCAACACAAGCTCAAGGCCTACATAATAGGAGGACTCTATCTAAAAAACCAAACCAAACCTAATCAATAAGTCAATAAAGGCAAGGATGTAGCTCAGTGGCAGAACTCTTTCTTACCATGTGTGAGGGCCTTGGGTTCAATCCTCAGTACTGAAAAATAAATTATATAAAGAATAAATAAGGGGAAAGGGGACATAAAAACAAGATGTTATTTAAGATGTGTTACGTACCTGTACCAACTCCCCAGGATGAATATAATCATTATGTACTGCAAACATGTACTAATAAAATTTAATTGCGGGGGGGACTAGGGATCAAACTTGGGACCTTGCACTTTTGAGGCAGGTGGCAGAACCACTGAGCTAAATCCCCGGCCCTATGTCTATTTTTAACCTGAAATTAATTCCAAATGTGCCTTATAATTCATAAATGTAAACCTTACCAATTTTATCTTGGGGTTAAAACTATTTTTGTTTTGGTGGGGGATGTCACCCTACACTACACCAAGTCCTTTTTGGGTGAGTAGGATCCCATTAAGTTGCCTGACCTTAACATCCTCCTGCATCAGTCTGCCAGTGCTAAGATTACAGGAATGCACCACCATGCCCAGCTGTGAGAACTTTCTACCAACTCCCCATACTACTGATATCCACACTGCTCATACCCCTATGTTCTTTTGTTGTTTTGTGGTACTGGGGATCCAACTCAGGACCTTAGTGAGCCCCAACTGAGCTAAACCCCCTCCCCCATTCTTCCAGTACTCTGGAATTTTGTCGGGGAGGTGTATGTTGAGACAGTCTCGATTCAAACACGTGGAGCTCCTCCAGCCTCTAGTGCTGGGATTACAGGCTTGTGTCACATTTGGCACACCCAGGTCTTTGCAATGAGCTGTATCTACAGGGTTTTTTTTCCTACTCATTAAATAGTTCAGGCTGGCCAGCCTTGAACTAGCTAGTAGCCATCATGCCTGGCTACTAAAGCTGTTATCAGGCATAGGACCCAGGAATCCACATAACCACAAAGAATCCCAGTAAACTTTGACCTGCAGGTTCAATATGAACCACAAAGTTGTAGTTTATTTCTATGAGGCACATTAGCTGAGGTCAGAGAACAATGGTTGAAGGACAGGTAGATCACACAAGGCTTGGTTGTAAACTTAACAATTTCCACCTGCTTGAACCACTGGTGAGATGTTGATTATCCCATGCATGACTGTATCACTTGTACCAGCAGTGCTACAAGCTGCTCAGTGGGACAGTTACGCATGTACCACCGGTGGTTCAAGCTGCCCAGCAGCAAGACACAGAATTAAGCCCCGTCATGAACCTGTTAAACTGTTCTATGAGTTTTTGTTTTTGTTTTTTTTTAAAGACAGGGTCTTTGTAGTAATATATAGCCCAGGTTTACCTTGGTCTCCTGGAGTTTGTGCTGGGATTACAGGCATGCACCACCACACCCAACCATCTCTCACTCCTTTAACACAGCAAAAGGATGGATTGCTGATTCTTTCACATAAAGCCACTGGATTTGAAGTTAAGAAATTTAGGCTAGAGTTCTTCATAGCTCAATTCAAGTTGCCAATATGACTTGTGAACTGACGTGATTTTTCTCATTAGAAAAGACCACCTGGGGCTGGGGATTTAGCACAGTGGTTCTGTGGCCTGCTTCACAAGTGCAAGGTCCCGAGTTCAATCCCTGGTACCAAAAAAAGCAAAAAAAAAAGCAAAAAAAAAGACCACCTGATCAAGTACTAAAAAGGCATCAGGGCTGGGGATTTAGCTCAGTGGTTTCACCGCCTGCTGCGTAAGCACAAGGACCCAAGTTTGAGCCCCAGTACCAAAAAAAAAAAGGCATCTTTTATCATTTGTCCAAATCATTGCTATAACTTGTTTCCTTACCTCCAGACCTACCTGCGACAGATTACCCATGCTGTATTTCTGAAATGGATCCAACAGATATCTGAGTCACATCAGATACTGTGCTACAGACCAGATTTAGAAGTGCTACAATGCCCTGAACTGATACGTTAAGACATTCAACATGCAATAATAGTTTCAATGAGGTCCACAGGTCTGAAAATATTTTTTGCACAGGCTGCTAGCTTCCACTTTTAAGATCTAACTGGGAAGTCACACTAAAATTTTCCAAAGATATAATCTCCACCTGTATTTTCACACTTGGTACAATGCATCTTTTTGTTTTTGTAGCAGTACTGGGTATTGATCACAGGGGCCTTTTTACTAAGCTGCATCCCCATCCCTTTGTTTTGAAATTTTTCATTTCTTTCAGCCAGGCATGGTGGCTCTCCCTTGTAATCCTAGTGCTTGAGAGGCTGAGGCAGGATTGTGGAGATCCAGGCCAGCCTAGGCTACACAGTGACTTCAGGGCCAGTTTGAACTACATAGCGTGACCCTGACGAATGAAAGGGATGAAGAAAAAGAGAAATAAAGAAAAAATTTGGTCACGACACAGGGTCTTGCTACAGTACAACTTGTGATCCTTTTGCCTTAGCCTCCAGAATGTAGGGGGCCTGTGCCACCACACCCAGCTTTTTTTTTTTGGTTCCAGGGATTGAACTCACATCCTTGCGCTTACGTAGCAGGCTGTGGAACCACCGAGCTAAATCCCCAGCCCTCCCAGCTTATTATATAGGTTTTAATCTTACCATAGAAGTTTACTGCCTGTATAGTATCAAGCATGTGAATCTTTTAGTATCTTCTACGAAAAAAAGGAGACTAAGTTAAAATCTGGGGGCTTTTAAGAAACTATTCTCTTACTAGAGCTAAAACTCAAGCTATACTGTCACAGAACAGGTGAATACCAAATGTTATACCCACAACTCCTGAAAAGGAGGGTTTTCAAGTATACTTAAAATTTTTTTTTTTTTTGGTACCGGGGATCGAACTCGGGTCCTTGTGCTTGCGTAGCAGGTGGCGAAACCACTGAGCTAAATCCCTGGCCCTAAAAAAAATTTTTTTTTAAATTGGGGCCAGAGATTTTGGCTCAGTGGTGTCACTTCCTGCCTTGCAAGTGCAAGGTCCCAAATTCAATTTACGGTACCTGACCCCCAAATCATTTTTCAGTATCATTCTGATCAGAGCCATACACTTAACAGAGCAAGGAAACAGGCATGCTTTTTCCTTCTAGTTCTTCATAGTATCTTATATGCTTATCTATTATTGCCTTTCCTATCTTTTTTTTGTCCAGTAAATTCACCTCCCTTGGCTTACCTGTAAGGTGCCTACTACATAGCAATAACCTGCAAGACAAATCTTTGTGGTTTTTTTGTGTTTTTTTTCTTTAAACAGGGTCTTGCTTTGTAGTTCAGGCTGGCTCTGAACTCATAGTGCAGCCCAGACTGGCCTTGAACTTGAGGTGATCCTCCTGCCTCAGCCTCCTAAATGCTGAGTACAGGGACTAATTTTTGTATTCTTCACTTTACCATCATCTGCAACTCAAGTCTTGAATATCTGTTATATAATAAAATGCTGAAATACAAAATACTGCTATGACGAATACACAAATTGTGAGGGAATGAAAACTGCCAAAATGCATAAGTTCAAAGATTGAGAGGAGGACAACACATTTCGTTTTATTTCAATCAAATCACAACATTTTCTTTCCAGCTGCTGCAAAGTCCATCTACAATTTTCTATTACAGATCCACTTTTAAAAGGTTTCCTGTGACATTACAGCAAGCCTTTTTTCAAACAGAGGAATAGCCCCCAATTCTTCAAAAAATAAAAACTCCATTCCAGTAAATGGGAGATACATGAAGTCACAGTAAAGCAGACACTTAAAAGGACAGCCAAAAGTCTTCCAACAGTTTATTAGAAAGAATGTAGACATTTAAAAAAATCCCCACTGTCATGAACATAAATTGAGGTTTTTCAGCTAGGGTAAAAGCTGAATCAAAAACAGAAATAAAAAATCCAATAGTGTATTAACACCTTTTCATTCATTTGCCATATTGACAGTGCAAATACAAATCTGGTCTAAATGAACAGACTCCCAAGCAACAATGTACAGTTTTCTTCGTCCTCCATGCTAAGAGATGTAAAAGCTTAAGGGCCAAACAATACCAAATGTATAGGCTTCAAAAACCATCTAAGTTAAGGGCATTCACTAATTTTATCTAAGATACATCTGGAACACTGACAAGTGATCACTTACATACAATAATGTGAAGTAAATTTTTTGAAAAATAAACTTTAGTGAACAATCCTGAAAGGTACACCAGAAGAATGGCAAGTTATCATCAGTTTAAGGTGTCAGCCAATTTGTTTCAGCCACTTTAAGCCCATGTCTAAAATCTAAAATTTAGTTTCCTTTCCCTATGCTGAGAACTTCCTATCATGTCAGTAACTATGTTATGAAATTAAGGAGACTTAGATGAAAGAAAATTTTTTTTATCACAACTGCTGTTACCAAATGCCTAGGACCTCAACAGCTTGTGAAAGTCTGGGAAATGTTCATGCATAATGATAATGCCTCAGGTGACGTAAAATTGCCCCATACAATGGTACATTATCAACCCTTAGTGAAGCCTTTAAAAAAAAAATTTAAAAAGTTGGAAAAACGGGTTAAAGGAGGCAAATGCAGTATCTGCCTTTAGAGCTATCAATTCAGGAATTCTCTCAATTATGAAATCTTGCAGAGAAGTTATTTTCTTTTTCAAAATTCAGTTGATGACATTGCTTACTCCAGATCTGGCATTTCTGCAAGGATTTAAAAAACAGTATAAATTACAAAGGAATAATCTTCCAATTTTAAATTCTCACAGGAAACAGAATTTAAAAGTTCCCCAATAAAATAATTGCTTATCTTATTAGCTCAATGATTCACATTTCTATTTTATTTATTCAAAACCATAAAGATTAATCATTTTTCTTCAAAGAATTACTGCTCAGTTTGGTTTTTTTTCTGGTACTGGGAATCAAACCCAGGACCTTGCACTTGCCAGGCAGGCGTGGCACCAGTGAGCTAAATCCCCGGCCTTCAAAGAATTATTGTTAAAGTTGACCTCTATTTTGAGTTTAGTCTCTGATCTGAAACATCTCTCTGTAAATATACTTTTTATAAAGCCACTTACTTTCATCATCGCTGTCTTGTGAATCCTGCAGATGGAGAAATAAAAAGAAGTTATCAAGGTGATCAAATATTCCCTTGTTAACCGCATAGTTTGCTTTAAGAAGCCGAAGCACTGTATTTTTAACTAAAATAGCAAAGGCATATGGCTATTATCAATTTAATCATTGGATTTAAGACCTGGTTTATCTAAAGCAAATGGATGTATAGCTGAGGAGCTATTGCTACCTTCTGGTAAAAAGCTGATGTGTGCTTCCTGGTGAGAATTCAGCTCACCCTTTCAATCCCTCCTCTTAAACTGTCCTCCTCTCTTGTCATTCAATGAAAGGAAAAATAGCTCAATACATAGACCAATGGGCCAGTAAAGACAAACTCTAACCCTAAATTAAAATAATCTAATTTCCAAACCACACTGAATGATTTTCTGAAAGATATAAACAGGATACCAGAGTGGGCAATGTTAAGGAAATGACGTAGTCTCATCTTACAGTTTCACAATGTCCATCTGTTCATTATACTTCGACAAACTTGTCTGTTTTTATTTTATTTATTTATATCTCACTCTAATCAGTTGGCATTGAACTCACTATGTAGCCCAGGCTGGCCTCAAACTCCCAATGATCCTCCTGCCTCAGCCTCCCAAAGTGCTAGGATTACAGGCATGTGCCACCACGCCCAACCTGTTTTTGTTTTTAAAACTATGGTAACTTATATTCTTTGTCAAAGTAATCCATAAATTAACTTAATAGAATGGGATATGATGTCTTTCTGCAATGATTCTTACAAAATTTGGTCCCTTTACAAATGGTCTATAATCACAGTTCCTACTAGAAACTATCCATTAAAATTGGTCACTTTTTTTTCTTTTTTTGGTACCGGAGATTGAACTCGGGTCCTTCCGCTTGCAAGGCAGGTGGCGGAACCACTGAGCTAAATCCCTAGCCCCTAAAAATGGTCACATTTAAAAAATTGTATTTGGGGAAAAAAAAAAAAAAAAAGGAACCTTGAAGCTACATAAAACAACCTATAAATTCATTGTTTCTTACTATTAAAGTAAACAAAAAAGAATTCATAGACTTACATCATCTGCTCCATCTACTTCTGGTAAATCTACATCCTCATCTCCACCCATGTTGTTCATCATCTATTTGAAGTGTAAAAATTAGTTTTTAAAATGTTAAATTAAGCCCTAATTATTAGGTTGCACATTCCTGAATATTCAAGTCTGCTATAGGTTTCCACAAACAAAAAAATACAAAAGAAACTTATATACCTTCCTTACTGGAAAAAGTAGATTATAGGTAATTATTAAAAATCCTGGAAACGAAATTAAGACTAAGTTCTCCCTTTAAAAAAATGAAGTTATTACATTCACCCAGCAAGGTATCTATGAGAGAGAAATTAACCTCAAAATTCTGAATAGTGGTTACTTCTGGTGGAAAAACATGGGATCCATTTGTAGTTATAACATTTTGTAGATACAGTATTTGTGTATTATAGTAGTCTCATAATTTTAAATATTGTGAAGGGCAATAAATGATTAAAAATACCTTTGAGATGGCTAATTTGTACAAAAGGCTGAATATCAAATCAAAGGCCATATAATAAAGTTAAAACACCACAAATGAAGTTCTTCAGAAGTGCACACTGTGGAAAGTAGTCTTGAATACCTACAATAAATTAGGACTAATAATACAGCATATTTACACATTTACAAAGAGTACTAATTTACTATCTTTAGTTATTTATAATACAGCATTATTATTTAGTTGCATAGTTGTTTATAATAAAGCACTATTTGAAGAGATACAGGTAACCAAAGAGTAAACAACTATTATCAAATAGGGAAGGATTCATCTCAAGTTAAAAGCTATTCCATAATTATTTAAATTTTAGAAAAATTAAAACTATTTAAATAGTCACATACAACTTTATAACAAAAACTAAAAACTTTAAAAGGGAAAATTAGTTAGGCATGGTAGAACATGCCTGTAATGATAGCACTCTGGCAATATGAGGCAGGAGGATCTTAATTAAGTTCAATCCCAGCCTAGGGACTTTGTGACTCAGTAAGACTCTGTCTCAAAATTTAAAAAGAGCTGGGGATGTACCTCAGTGTGAAGGCTCTGGACCCAATTCTCAGTACCAGAGGGGGAAAAAAAAAGAAAAACCTTGGATTTTCTGCAACAACATAGCTGAGAGAAAATGTGCTAAGAGAAGTAAGCCCACTGTCACAGGACTACTTACTGCTATGAGGTATCTAAAATATCCAAACACACAGAAACAAAGTAGAATAGTAGCGGTGGTGGGGTGGTCAGAAGTTTCGGTTCAATGGGTATGAAGCTTTTCTAGCTTCATTAAGTTCCATACACCTCTTGTACCTACAGTAAATAATACAGTGCTCTGCACTTAGATACTTCAACAGATCTCAAACATGTTATAATCTCAATTAATAGTAATAAAAAAAGGCTGGGGAAGTTATTGGTAGAGTGCTTTCCTAGCATGAGGCCCCACTAGGTTAGATCCCCAGCACCATAAAAATAAAAAAATAAAAACATATTATGTCTGTAATCCCAACTACTTGGGAGGCTAAGGCAGGAGGATCACCAATTTGAACCCAATCTTGGTAATTTAATGATTTAATAAAACTATCTCAAAATTAAAAAGGGTAGAGGATATAGCTCAATACAAAGGCCCTGAGTTTAATCCCCAGTACTGCACTACAGAACATGTAACACACACACACACACACACACACACACACACACACACACACGCACGCACATCGTAGTCAAATCTTAGTATAAAGAATCATGGCGTGAGGATTTAGCTGGGCTAGGGATTTAACTCAGTGGTTTCGCCTCTTGCTGCGCAAACGCAAGGACCCAAGTTCGATCCCCGGTACCAAAAAAAAAGAAACATCATCGGCCAGGGATTTAGCTCAGTGGTTCTGCCGCCTGCAACCCCCACTCCAAAAAGAATCATCATAATCTAGTTTTCAATAACATAGATAACTGATAGGGTGTCAAGGCACTGCCGATTACTTGTTTGTTGTATTTGAGATTGAATCCAAGACCTCCTGCATGATAGACAAGGGCTCTACCATTGAGCTACATTCCAGCCCTTTTCATTTCAAAACAATCTTAGGTTTGCCCAAGTTAGCCTCAAACTTTTGATCCTCCTGCCTCAGCCTCTGAAGTAGCTGAGATTACATCTGGAACTGGTGCTTTTACATTTGCTTGAGCATGAAAAATGCTCAAAATGTAGGCACTGAGTACACTACAGCAATAGATAGAACTGAAAGTATTCAGGAGCTATTTAAGAAGTAAAACAACACAAAGGTAGTACAATAAAAATGAATAGTTATGAACTAGTGACTTTCACAACCAGGTTAAATCAGTCACTATAGGTGAAAACAGCACATCTGAGGAAAGTCACATGACTATTCTTCCCTCTTACTAAAATCAAGGTGTGAGGGCCATATGAGATGTTAAATAATTAAATACATGAAGCAGGAAATTAGCTCTTTAAGTGGATTTTACGGGTATATATTTAATTTAAACCTAATAGCCTTTCTCTTTTTTTTTGAGACAGAGTCTTGCTTTGTAGTGCAAGCCGGGCTTGAACTCACTATGTAGCCCATGGTGCCCTCAAACTTGCAAAGATCCTTCTGCCTCAGCCTCCCCAGTGCTGTGATTATAGGTGTGTCACCACACTCAGGTATCCTTTCTTGTTTGAACTATGCTATATAGTTCAGGCTGGCCTTGAACTCATAGTGATCCTTCTGCTTTAGCCTCCTGACCTGGGATTATGAGCATACAGCACAGGGGCTGGCTAATAACCTTTGCACCCCCCCACCTAATATCTTCTTTCTAATCAGCTTTAGTCTACCACATATAGTGAGGATGATTCTGTGTATAGAGATGAACCTTTTTTTCCCCTTTTGCCTTAGCAATATGTATTTGTGTGACATCTTACAAAACAGGTTTAGCCAGGCATGGTGGAATGTGCCTTCAATTTCAGCACTCAGGAGGCTGAGGCAGAAGAATCTGAAATTTTAGGCCAGTCTCAAATAGTGAACTGAAGGACAGTTGGGACTACACAGAAGACCATTTCAGAAAACCAAGTGTGAAAAACACACACACACAAAACAGCAAAAGCCTCTTTCCCTGTTTTTGCAACTAAAAACTCACACACATCTCAATATGAACTCAATGAGTCTTATGTTTAAAGTTTTTTTTGACTTTGTTTTCTTTGGTACTGGGGATCGAACTCAGGTCCTTCCGCTTGTGAAGCAGGCAGCAAAACCACTAAGGTAAATCCCTGGCCCTCATGTTTAAAGTTTTACATCTGTACTAACAATATAGCTACAAAATGCAAAGGCCGGGGATTTAGCTCAGTGGTTCCACCGCCTGCCTCGCAAGCTAAGGACCTGAGTTCGATCCCCAGTACCGAAAAAAAAAAACAAATGCAAGCCAAACACTACATTCATTACTCAAAGAAGAAAAATGGTTCAATCCTAAAATAACAACTAGCTGAGCTGAACTGATTCTATAGTTTAAATAACATTTATTATTATTTATTTAATATTAATTTACTTTAGAAAGTTAATTTTTAAAAAATCATTTAAGAAGTTAAACGTTATGATAAAATTACTATTAAGATCTCATTTGGTGGGCCGGGGATTTAGCTCAGTGGTTTTACTGCCTGCTGCGCAAGCCCAAGAAACCAAGTTCAATCCCTGGTACCAAAACAAAAACAAAAACAAAAACAAGATCTCATTTGGTGTTCTCAGTGTGGCCTTAAAAATAAAATTGTGGGTCAGGGATTTAGCTCAGTGGTTCCACCGCCTGCCTTGCAAGCACAAGGTCCTGAGTTCGATCCCTGATACCATAAATAAATAAAATTAAACTAAAAAGTAATTTTAAAAAAAGGTTATCTTTAATTCCACTAGGTGCTTAAAACCAATTAAAATCTATAGAACTATATGAGGTAGGGGATAGAGAATGCATTTAAAAGAACTTACCTCAGAGAAACGATCAAAATTAGACATGTCTTCATCAGAATCATCCTCCCAGTCTTTCCAATTATTGAAGTCCACACTAAGCCAATTAAGCTATAGATCAATATAAACATCACCCTATGATTAGGTTAACTTGCACTTTAAGGCATTTTTGAACTATAGGTTCACACCCATTAATGGGATGTGTAATTAGCACACCCAGGAACATGTGGTACACACATACCAGAAACAAAAACACCCAGATGAAAAAAAAAAACCAGCAAGAAAAAAAAAAAAAAACAACCAGCAAGTACATTTATAATAAATATGCGGTTTCACAAAACTTATGTCAGAGTTGTTAAAATCACTAGTAGGAACTATTCTCAGATACTTGAAAAAAAATTTTCCCCCCACTGGCTCCAAATTATATTCTCATGTTACAGCTAAGCAAAAGTCTTCTTTTATACAAAGTCTGTCTCTCCCTCTCTGTTATGGTGCTAGAGACTGAACCCAGGGCCTTGTGCATGTAAAGCATACTCTCTACCACTGAGATACCCTAAAGCATAGCTCCTGAATGCAGAAGATTCTACATCAACTAGTGACTGATTTTCGGACCATGTTGCTGTTATAAGGAAAAAACAAAAACACGAGCTTTAATACTTAGCTATGAAAATACTGTATTCCTTATTCAAACAAGTATATCTTTTACATTTAATATAAAAATATTAAACATTCAAAAAAAGAAAATGAAGACATACCTTTGCCCTTTCTTTTGTTAACCTAGGCCACGACTGGCCAGATTCTCCTTTTCGTAAACAACATAAAATTGATCTGTCTGTTCTTTTATGCTTGGAATCCTAAAAACAAAAGCCATGACACTATTTATTGCTCTAGTATCACTACAGGATAGAAAGTAGCCTGTCCTTCCTCACCTCTCCTTTTATTTATTTTTTCTTTAGAGACAGAGCCTTGCTATGCTGTCCAGGTTGGCCTGAACCTTGTAATCATCCTACCTCAGCCTCCAAGTAGCTAGGATTAGTGGCTTGTGCCACTCTTCCTGGCTTTTACCTCTCCTTTTCTCTGAAAGAACTAGGCCCTTGACTCCTAAAAATTTCAAACTCTCCAATTGCCACAGAACTCAAGACTGTAACTTAACTTGGTATCATTCTCTCTTGGCTGCATGAATAGAATAATAACTTCAAAAATTTAACTGAGCATATTATACCACAGAATGACTTAAAGATTCTTAGAAAGACAAGCCTTAAGTTGTGAGTCTAAACAGTGATAACAAGAATAAAGAGTATAGCTGGGGATTTAGCTCAGTGGTTTTGCTGCCTGCTGTGCAAGCGCAAGGACCCGAGTTCGATCCCCAGTACCAAAAAAAAAAAAAAAGAAGAAAGAGTATGAAGAGAAAGGGGGAAAGATACTGCAAAGTATAAATATATCTAGCTAGGTTCTAACTGCTAAACCAAAATTAGTGACTAGTGCTAAAAAATACTTGAAGTATGTCCATTTTCTCACATTAAATCAGGATTAAAGGATTAACACTGCTGGGCTGGGGATTTAGCTCAGTGGTTCCAACGCCTGCCTCGAAAGTGCAAGGTCCCAAGTTCGATCCCCGGTAACACAAAAAAAAAAAAAAAAGGAAAAGGATTAAGACTACTTACACTTGGATCAATACAGTGGAAAAGATCAATTTCATTTAAATGTTTAAAATTATCACTTCCTCCAAGACAACTGTATAACAGAGAAAGAAAAATAAGTAAGCTTCTTCAAAGATTAATTTTAACTGCAATGAAAAAACAAAACAAGCCGAGTATTCAGTCTTCTGAAATAAGATTTTAAACCCAATTACATAAAATAGTAAATTTACCTGAAAGTAAGTTTGGATTTTTCAAAATTTACATTAACATCTTTACTGTCTTCAACACAAAATTCAATGAAGACATAGTCCCTTCGATCATACCACTTTGCAGAAGCAGGCTGCCTACAAAGAGAAAAAAAAAAAATCAAACTCAAACTCGTTAACTGAATATTTACATAATCTATAAAGTTCAGTATATAAGTACTGTATTTTTCTACTCCGTTACATAGCACTGGTTATTTTTTTTTTTTTGGTACCCGGGATCGAACTCCTTGTGCTTGCGAGGCAGGCAGCGGAACCACTGAGCTAAATCCCCGGCTCCACCACTGGTTATTTTGAGGCAGTTCACTATGATTTAAACAGAAATTTTATTTTTACACTACTACATTTAAAGTATTAAGTCACTTTTGGAAGGGGCAGCAATACTGGAAAAGAACCCAGGCCTTTACACTGAGCTATATCCCTATCCCTCTCATTTTTGCTGCTTACACTAGGGATTGAACCCAAGGACTTCCACAAGCTAAGCAAGTATTCTACCACTGAAGAACATTCCCAGCTCTTTTGAGACAAGATCTCAACTAAGTTGCTAATTTGCCCAGGCTGGGTTCAAATTTACAATCCTCCTGCCTCAGCCTCTCAGATTTCTGGGATTAACAGGCATACGCTACCACGTCTGGCTAGGAAGTTTTTTACAACTTCATCTCTTACTCTTTTGTACCTCTATCCAAAATATACTAGAAGCCACCTATATTTGCTTTTTCTTTAGTATTGTGGTTTTCTTTTTCATACTGTTGGCTGCTGGAACTCAAACCATCTTTTTTTGGATTTTTTTTTTTTTTTTTTTTGAGACAGGGTCTCACTTTGTATTTCAGCCTGGCCCTGAGCTCACTATGTAGCCCAAGCTAGCCTCGAACTCGGAGTGAGTGCTGGGATTACAGGTGTACATCCCACACCTAGCCCTCAAACCATCTATTGAAATTAGTTTTAGGGCCGGGGATTTAGCTCAGTGGTTTTGAGCGCAAGACCCGAGTTCAATCCCCAGTACCAAAAAAACAAAAACAAAAACAAAAATTAGTTTTAAACTGAGTGTGGTTGTCAGGAATGGTGGCACACACCTTAATTCCAGCACTTGGGAGGCATCACCAAAAGTGCGAGGCCAGCCTGGGCTACAAAGTGAGTTCAAGGCCAGCCTGAACTACATGACGACTTTCTCAAAAAAGCAAAACCAAGGGCTGGGGATTTAGCTCAGTGGGTCCACCGCCTGCCTCGAAAGCACAAGGTCCTGCGTTCAATCCCTGGTACAAAAAAAAAAAGCAAAACCAAAACAACCAGGTATGGTGGTACACACTTAGTAACTCCAACACTCAGCAGTCTGAGGCAAGAGGGATCACTGTGAGTGAGTTCAAGGCCAGCATGAATTAAGAGACCCTGTCTCAAACATAAACAAAAAAATATGCTTTAGGGTTGTGAACATAGCTCAGTGATAAGAGTATTTGCCTAGCACACACTAGGCCCTGGGTTTGATTCTTAGACTGCATAAAACAAAGAAAGTTTTAAAATGGCTAAAACCCATTAAAAAGCCAACACATTCAAGTATAGTTAATAGGCAATAAAGACTGTGTATGTCAAACGTATGCTGTGGTACATGCCTGCAATCCCACCTACTCCAGAGGCTCAGACAGAATGACTCCAAGCTCAAGGCAGCCTGGGCAACTCAGGGAGATCCTGGATCAAAATAATTTAAAAGGGCAGGGGATTTAACTAAGTAGTAGAGCCCTTGCCTAGCAAGCTTGAGGTTCAATCCCCCAATACTATGAATGAATGAATGAATGAATGAATGAATGTGAGAGGAGAGAAAAAGATAGATTATATATGGCAGATAATTCTCTTTGTAATACTATATTTAGACAAGAGACAGATATTGGGGAGGCTGAGGCAGGAAGACTGTCACAGCCCAAGAGTTTACATCTCCAGCCTAGTTAGCAGTTGAGGGAGGGGGTGGTATTTTGCCTTAGCTGCCTCTAACTTTTCATCTTCCAGCCTCAGGTATTATTTGTGTGTACCACCATGCCTGCTGAGACTGTAGATTAATATTCTTTCATCTACAATATCTTGCACATACAGGCTATATGTTATTTCCTAACTCATTTTCTTTCCAAAACAATTATCTTCAGTATGTGGTGATATTGTCTTTAAAAGTATTTTTACTTTGTAATTGGTGGCAGGCTTTTTGGCTCAGCATTACAGCACAGGTTTAACATATACAAGGCCATAGGTTTAATCCACAATGTACGTACGTGTGTGTGTGTGTGTGTATGTGTGTGTGTGTGTGTGTGGGTGTATAGATAACTAAAACTCTGAACAATACATTTTAATAAAGTTTGTGGTGCTGGGAACTGAGCTCATGCCCTTGGGCATGTTGAGCATATACTCTACCATTGAGCCAAATCTTCAACAGATTTTTTTTCTGGAAGTACTGTACTAAGGGCTGAGCCCAAGACCTTCACACTAAGCTACACATTTCCAGCGCTTTTTATATTCTATTTTGAAACAAAGTCTTGCTGTAAGTCACTAAGTCACCCAGGCTAAGCTCAAACTTGCAATATTCCTGCCTCACCCTCTCAGGGTGCTAGGATTACAAGCACATGTCACCACCATGCTTGGCCTTATTTCCCTTTTATTAAAGTTCATGTGAGCATTTCATGGCATTATATTCAATAAAGGAAAACGAAATTCAAATAAGGGTACATAGGGCCAGGGATTTAGCTCAGTGGTTCCACCGCCCACCCCGCAAGCACAAGGACCCGAGTTTGATCCCCGGTACCAAAAAGAAGGGGATATAGCTGGGCATGGTGGCACATGCCTGTAATCTCAGCACTTAAGAGGCTGAGGCAGAAGGATTGCTGTGAGTTCAAGGCCAGTCTGAACTATACAGTGAGACTCTGTCTCCAAAAAAAAGGGGAGGGGGGACTTAGCTCAGTGTCACTGCCTGCCTCACAAGCCCAAGGTCATGAGTTCAGTCCCCAGTACCAAGGGGGGGGGAAGACAAAGGCAGACAGCTTAACATGAAGGCCCTGGGTTCAATGCCAAACAGACTTGGTAAAAGTTCTTTATGAGGTTCTGCTTTGTCCTTAACTCTAGGATGTGAACAGCACTAGAAAAATCATTTAACAGTTCGCATGCCCACAAAGCAGTATCAATTATTTTGGGTCCTGGAACAAGATTACAGCGTACAAGTGTGTTCACTCTTTTACGCAATTCCCAGGCATCTATATCTTGTTTGCCGAAGTATGTTACCCAGTAAGCATCAAGCTCATCTGTCCCATGTAACCGATGGGATTAGCAGCAAGCTGATGGGAGATAGGGGGCAGGGTGCTGGACCTACAGTGCTGGCAAGCAGCTGCTGCTACTGAGCAGTGGTAGAGGGTTGCACCTAGCGTGACAGTGGTGCTGGGGTTGGGGGAGAGTCTGCATGAAGCTGGAAAGAAGCCCAGCCTAGACTGGAGCACTAATTCTTTTATAAAATGGCAATGAAGGAATGAGGTATTTCCTCTTCCTTCTCTTTATTAACTTCTACTCGTGCTAACTGAATAGTACTTGTTCATTAGGGAAATTCCTTTACAGAATTCTAGCTTTGTTGTCGAAGAAAATGAGAGGGAAAAATTTTTTCTCAAACCTTAATGTGAGCATCACTGAGTGGTACATGGGGATATCTATCTCCAGATTTGATGTTAACACGTATTCCACAATACTACAGTATTTGTTTAAAACAAAAGTGTGACCTCAATCTGATAAACATGTAAAGTTTGATTACAGTCTATAGGAAATATGAGGAATATAGGAAGTTAAATGACAGGCCTGTCAGGCTAAGAAGTGAAAAATCTTGAACATTGCTTTGCAAATCATTGACATAAAGAGAAGGAAGAACTGCTTTAGACTAAAAGATACTTAAGAGATTTATGAAACAAGCACAATTCAAAATCATGGTCTGCATGTTGATTCAAAGGAAGTACTGGGCTGGGGATTTAGCTCAGTGGTTCTATCGCCTGCCTCAAAAGCGCAAGGTCCCGAGGTTGATTCCTAACCCCCCCCCCAAAAAAGAATTCCTTGGCTGGGGATTTAGCTCAGTGGTTCCACCACCTGCCTCGAAAGCACAAGGTCCTGAGTTCAATCTCCTGTACCAAAAAAACCCACAAAAAAACAAAGCAAGTATTGCCAGCTTGAACTATGTGAGTCCTTGTCTCAAAAAACCAAACAAGACATTTTTAAAAATGGAAATGTGAGACAAAAACCTAAGTACATAGGGCTGGCCCTAAACTACTTTGGGAAAGGAAAATAAGGATTAATAAAACGTGGCAAAAGTGTTATATCTGTATAATGGGTATATGAACTTATTATGCTCTTGATTTCTGTCTGAAAAATATACTTTATTGGGCTGGGGATTTATCTCAGTGGTGTCGTGCCTGCCTCACAAGCACAAGGTCCTCAGTTTGATCCCCAGTATCAGAAAATAAAAAATATTCTTTAGGAAAACCGACACAGGGCAGGAGTGTAGCTCAATGGTAGAATGTTTGCCTGATATATGCAAGGTCCTGAATTGGACTTCCTGTATAGCCAAAAAAAAAAAAAAAAAGGCCTCTGGGGCTGGGGATTTAGCTCAGTGGTTCTGCCACCTGCCTCGCAAGCACAAGGTCCCGAGTTCCATCCCTGGTACCAAAAAAAGAAAGCCTCTACATTTAAAATGACACTAAGTCTTCTTTTTTTGGTACCAGGGATGGAACTCGGGACCTTGCGCTTGTGAGGCAGGCAGTAGAACCACTGAGCTAAATCCTTGGCCCAGATGTTATTTTAATGAATGCTTATTATAAAATAAAAATAAAATCTACTGGGGAGAGGTAGTAGTGATACAACAGACAGACCTGTCATAATAATGGCTGACACTAAATAATTGGTACATTAGGGGGTCACTGTTGTTTGTACTGCACCCTTTGTGCTTAAAGAAAATTACACAATAGTCAAAAGGCATTAACTAACCTAGGGCTGGGGATAGTACTCAGTAGTAGAGGACCTGCCTAGCATGCATAAGTCACTGGGTTTGATTCCCAGTACCACAAAAAACAAAC